GGAAGAATTAACATCATTAAAATGTCCATACTACCCAAAGCAATCTATAGATTCAATGCAATCCCCATCAAAATACCAACGACATATTTCATAGAACTAGAACAAATACTTCAAAATTTCATATGGAACCAAAAAAGACCCCGAATAGCCACAGCAATCTTGAAAAGGAAGAACAAAGTAGGTGGGATCACAATACCAGATATCAGGTTATACTACAAAGCGACTGTAATCAAAACAGCCTGGTACTGGCACAAGAACAGGCATATAGACCAGTGGAACAGAACTGAAAATCCAGAAATGGACCCAAAGCAATACGCTCAATTAATATTTGACAAAGGTGGCAAGAGCATACAGTGGAGTAAAGACAGCCTCTTTTTTTTTTTTTATTTTTTTATTTTTTATTTTTTTTATCCTCACCCGAGGACATTTTTCCATTTTTTGCACAGACAGAGAGGGAGGGAGAGAGAGGAAGAGAGAGAGAGGGAAACATCGATGTGAAAGGGACACATCGAGTGGCTGCCACCCGCACGACCAACCAGGGCCAGGGACAAACTGCAACCGAGGTACATGCCCTTAGCGGGAACCGAACCCGGGTCTCTACAGACCGCAGGCCGACGCTCTAACCGCTGAGCCAAACCGGCCAGGGCAAGACAGCCTCTTTAATAAATGGTGTTGGGAAAATTGGACAGCTACATGCAAAAAAATGAAACTAGACCATCAACTTACACCATACACAAAAATAAACTCAAAATGGATAAAAGACTTAAATGTGACCCGTGAATCCTTTAAAATTCTAGAAGAAAATGTAGGCAAAAAAATTTCGGACATCATACGGAGCAGAATTTTCACTGATACATCACCTAAGGCAACAAAAACAAAGGAAAAAATGAACACATGGGACTACATCAAACTAAAAAGCTTCTGCACAGCAAAAGAAACAATCATCAAAATGGAAAGGCAACCCACTGTATGGGAGAACATTATTGCCAATGATGTATCAGATAAGGGGTTAATTTCCAATATATATAGAGTGCTCATACAACTCAAGAAAAGGAAGACAAAGAACCCAATTAAAAAATGGGCAGAGGAGCTGAATAGACACCTCTCCAAACAGGACATACAAATGGCCAAGAGACATATGAAGAAATGCTCAACATCACTAATCATCAGAGAGATGCAAATTAAAACAACAATGAGGTATCACCTCACACCTGTCAGAATGGCTGCCATCAACAAATCATCAAACAACAAGTGTTGGCGAGGGTGTGGAGAAAAGGGGACTCTAATACACTGCTGGTGGGAATGCAGACTGGTGCAGCCACTATGGAAAACAATATGGTGTTACCTCAAAAAATTAAAAATTGAACTTCCATTTGACCCAGTGATCCCACTTCTAGGAATATACCCTAAGAAGCCTGAAACACCAATCAGGAAGAATATATGTACCCCCATGTTCATAGCAGCACTATTTACAATAGCTAAGATCTGGAAACAGCCCATGTGTCCATCAGTAGATGAATGGATAAAAAAGCTGTGGTACATATACACAATGGAATACTATGCAGCGGTAAGAAAGAAAGATCTCTTATCCTTTGAGACGACATGGAGGGACCTGGAAAGTATTATCCTAAGTGAAATAAGCCAAGCAGAAAAAGACAAATGCCACATGATCTCACTTATATACGGAAAATAATGAACATAACAGTCTGAGGAATACAATAGACCCAGAAACATGGAAGTAGGGCACAGACTGATATCCCTCAGAAGAGGGTGTGGGGGTGGGTGGGAAGAGATAAACCACAGAACTTATATGCATGTATGCATGACCAATGGACATGGACAACGAAGCCGGGGATGGGGCGGGGGTGGGGTAGGGAGGGGGGTGCCAATGGGGTAAAAAAGGTAAAATATCTGTAACAAAAAAATAAATAAAAATTAAAAAAAATTTAAATATTAAACAAACAAACACTTTAAAACAAAGTGTTTAAACAAACACTTTGATTTGATCCTAATTCCACTTGCCATGATGTTGACAAATTCAGTCTCAGTCATCTATGGGGTGTTCTTCTCCCCTTCTAGCTTTCAGTCCGCATTGGTCACTGAAAGATCTATTGCAGAGCTGACAGCCTCCACACTAGGGCTCAAGTGTCTGCTACTTGGTAGCCCTGATCTCTCTGCATGCACCATGTAGCCCTTCCCCTCCATGGCCCTGTCACCTGCCCAGGTCCCTTTGAGGAAACTTGTGGCATCACTACTACTGGAGGAATCCCACCCACTTTTTTCTTAAAAAGCCCGATTTTGCTTTTGTGTTACTCCAAATATATATTTTCAACCCCTTCATTTGCTGAGAGATTCTTCCAGGCTATCCTCTTTGGGTTTTTAAAAACACTATTGGACTCAGCTTCCTAGAGGTAGAGGTTGAAAAGGAAGTGCTGTGTAATTTTACTAGTTCATTGTATGACAGATAAAGACATATCTAATATATGTCAAAAAAAAGTTCAGTATTTCCCAATATTATCTACAGATCACTAACCTCAGAGTCATTCAAAATATGTGGTAAAAATGTTGATTTCTGCTCTGGCCGATTTGGCTAGCAGTTAGAGCGTCAGCCCAAGGACCGAAGAGTCACAGGTCAATTCCCGGTCAAGGGCACCTACCTCAGTTGCAGGTTTGATCCCTCACACCAATCGACGTGTCTCTCTCACATCAATGTCTACCCCCCTCCCCCAATCTATCTAAAAATCAATGGAAAAATATTCTTGGGTGAGGATTAAAAAAAAAAGTTGATTCCTGATTCTATATCCAGACCCACGGGACCTGAACCTCTGGAGGTGGTGCTGGGAATCTAATTTTTCTTTTCAGTGTCTTAAAACAGTGTTTGAGTATTTCTCATCATTCTGTGGGCTGACTGAGCAGTTCTGCTGATGTGGCTTTAACTCATGTGTTTGCATTCAGCTGACACATTGATTAAGGGGTGGGTTCAGCTGAGATAGCATTTATTTTTTATTTTTTAAATGTTTTTATTGATTTTTTTGGAGAGAGAGGGAGAGAGAGATGGAAACATCGATGTGAAAGAGAAACATTAATCCGCCACCATCTGCACGCCCCCACTGGGGATCAAGTCCACAACCCAGGCACGTGCCCTGACTGGAAATCCAACGAGTATGTCTCAGTCCATGGGATGGCACTCAGTCCACTGAGCCACACTGGCCGGGCTGAGACAGCACTTAAATGGCTGGTCTTTAATCCCAGGCTTTTTTACAGCATCATGATCTTGGATAGTGTTCTAAGATGGTCGAGATGGAAACTTCAAGGCCTCTTGCAGTCTAGACTTCGTTCATAACTTTCACTGCACCATTCATACCACAGTGCATTGGTCAAAGTAACAAGGCAAGCCAAGATTCAAGGTGAGAGAGACTCCATGTCTGGATGAGAGAGAATCTGCCCTTTTAACATAGTCTCTTTAGGTTGACTCATACCCACCTGAGGTAAGTGCTGTTTAACAAATATGTGTTCAGAGCTGTTTCCCATTGCATTTGGTACAAATCTCTATTTCTAGTACTTAAACTTATATACTGTATAATGTAAATGTCTTTGTTTATCTCAGAGGGGTTTTTTGGTCACCTTTCTATCCCTAGAGCTTATCACAGTACTTGTGACCCAGTAAATGTTCAATAAATATCTCTGAAATGAATGTGAATATTTGAATCTAGAGTTTGTGGAATATCCTAAGAATAATTTGGGCTTGCTCTCATAGTTTCATTCTAATTAGGGAGGTAAATGTAGAAAGTTAAGATTTTAGATACAGGGGCTTCCTGAAATAGTAATATGCTTAGGTACTCCAACTACTAAAGCGCAGAATGGTAGGAGAATTTGTGAAAATGGAAGAATTTGAGGAGGAGCTTGAAGAGAGTATCTAAGTGGATGGGCCTGGTATGACCACAGATGTGAAGTTATTACCAGCAGGTTCAGGAGTCAGTGGCTGATGCATAAGGCTTATAAAAGGGAATGGTGCAAAATATTAGTCAAAGAACTTGGGATGGATTGTGGAAAGCCTGGGAGAGTGATTTAATTAAAATATCTCACCACAATGGCAGTTAAAAATGATTAGCTCACAACGTTGTACGTTAACCAAACTTGAAATTACAAAATGCCGGGGACTTTTAGCCCTTGACAGTTGAAGCGATCTCTATTTTAGAACACATAGAAACGAAAATAGCGTAGTTATGTTCTGATCTCCAAAAAATTCCTTTGAAAATCAACCCGCCTTTCAGGTTTATTGAGATATAATTGACATATAACAAAATCAGATTCTTAGTAGAGGCACAAACTTGGGTTAAATCACACCCTACCCCTTCTCGCTGTCCCAAGGCTTCTGGCCAACCACATCGCCTTTTCTAACACCGCCTTTTCATTTATGTATTGATTAGTATGTGCCAATAGCTCTGCAGATACACTCTCTTATTTAATCGGGATTCGCCAGGTCTCATGCAAAGCAAAGATATAAACCTGGGGGCTGGGAACACAGGCCGCTCAGTCGGTGAGAAAAACGAGCTTAGCGCGACTCAAGCGGGACCCACGTCGAAGGGAAGGGAAATGGGAAAATAGAGACGCGGTCCCCTCTTTCAGGACTCTGAAGGCTTGTACGCCGAGTGAACAGGAAACCTCTCCAGCGTGACACTTGTCAACACGTCTTCACTAGGCGCCTTTCCAGAATCACGGTACTGGGTTAGCGAGAGCGAAGGGTATGGGCGATTCTGATTGGCTAGGTGGACCTCGACCCTAATTCCCCCCTGAGGAACAGATGAGCAGTGGGTGGGACTTGAAACCGAATCCTTGCTTTCATTGGTAAAAAGAAAACGAATCAGAAACTATTCGGAAGCGTGATTGGCTGTTGCCAGGACCCTTCCGACAGCCGTATGGGTCTTGGTTACGGAAGCCGGGGAGGGCTGAGCGCAAGATTTACCCCAAGGAAGTTAGTAAGCGAGGATCGGGTAGCAGTGCAGAAGAGGCATTTCAGGCCTAATGGCGACTGTGGAAGCAAGCAGCAGCGATGGGAAAGGGCAAGGGGTGGAAACCCCCGTCACCTATTACCGTTTGGAGGAGGTAGCGAAGCGCAACACCTTGAAGGAGATGTGGCTCGTGATCCACGGACGAATCTACGATATCACCCGCTTCCTTAACGAGGTGGGGCTCGGGAGGTGGGCGGCCCCTTGAAGCTGCTGGGCCGAGGGGTGGTCAGGCCCGGAAAGGCTGCTGGGGCTGTGTGTAGAAGGGAAATGACATCTATCTGAGGGCGAGAACGCGAACGAAAGGAGCCGCAACACTCCTAGAGGGCAACGGGGCGGCGTGGAGGGATTATATATGCATGCATTTCCAGCCGGCACTAAATTCTGGTGCCTTAAGTAATATCGTGCATTACTTATCATGTATCGAGCACTTACTCTGTGCTAGGCTAACTTCTAAGTCATTAGGATCCCCATTTTACGGATAGGACCACCGAGTCGCAGACTGAGAACTCTCCAGGTTACACACTTAACATCCGAGAGCCACTTGAACCTGGTTTTGAAAAGCTCCAAACCTCTGCTGTTTCCAGTCTGCCTTCTGAAGTGATACCATTTTTGTTTTTCCTTTTCTTGATAAAAAGCTGAGATTCATTCCCTCCTCCAGTATGTTGTGTTTATTTTTTTCTAATTTGAGTTCTTGAGGCCAGAGGGTCAACACTTGACCTTTTTTGGCCATTGACTCAGGTTCTGTTATTCTTTTAAATCTTCAAGTTGTTCTGTTAGATATTACTCAAGTTCTCTTTGAGACCAGGGTACAACTGAGTGATTTTTTTTTCTTCTCAATTTAAGGGAACAGGAGAGGCATTTAATTTGTTTAAACTAACTTTATTGAGGTGTAATTTGCATTCAATGAAGTGTGCCCACTTAACGTACAGTTTGATGAGTTTTGACAATATATTCACCCACGTGATCACAATCTCAGTTACGCATTTCCGCCACTCCAACAAGTTCCCTCTTGCTCATTTGTAGCAGCCATTCTCCCTATCCCCACTCCCTGAAGCTTTGACATGTTTTTTATAAGTATTTATTATATATTATATATTGGTGTATACCATTTTATTTTGAGTAATTAATAATCTTTTGATTAACTCCTTGGAAATTCTTGCATAATATAACTTGATTGCAATTGAGAAAAAAGTTCCTTTCTAATAGTTCTTTCTCTGAAGCAAATACATAGTAAAAAATTTTTTTCTATTAATTTGGGGCCTAGGGGGAAAATCTCTACATCCTGATTCATAAAAACTTTAAAAACGTATAATTTCCCCAGAAGCACGTTGTTTTGTTAACCCTCACCCGAGGATATTTTTTCATTGATTTTTAGATAGGGTAAAAGGATTGGGGGTAGGGGGAGAGACACATAGATTGGTTGCCTCCCAAATGTGCCACAACCAGGGCCAAGAATCCAACCTGTAACCCAGGTACGTGCCCTTGACTGGGAATCGAACCTGCGACCCTTTGTTCTGAGGGCTGATGCTCTAACCGCTGAGGCAAACTGGCCAAGGCAGGATGTTGTTTTAATAAATCTTCCTAGTGGTCAATAAGTTAACATCATAAAGTTTATTAACTCCTTGCATTTGTATGGTATATGCATTTTATGCTTTTAAAAGTACTTTCCCATTATTTCATCCTCAAAATAACTAGTTGAGAGTGCCTTGGATAGTAGTGATCCTTTTTTTTAAAACGGGTACAAGAAACAGGTTCAGAAAGATTTTGGTCATACAGGTGATTGGTGGCAAAGTCTGGTTTAGATAGATCATGTCTACATGGATTTCTTCAGATTTAGATTTCTCTTGTCTGCCTGGTATTATTTCAAAATTCTAGCCTTAGCTATGTCCTTTGGTGTACGCCTTCTAATACGTTTCACTTGTGGGTTGGCAGCATGTTAAAGCATACTTCATAATGGGTAGGTAACAATGTTTTTCATTTGTGGTTTTATTTTTCCCAAATTTCTCAGGAATACTCTATTCCTGAGGAATACTGAATTCTTGTAGGGGACATTAATTCAGTCTACAGTAGTAGTTGCTAACCTGGTTTACTACACGCTGGTGGAGCCAGAGACATCACAAGTATGCCAAGGCTTCCCTTAAAACTTGAGCTGCAGATCTTTACCTGCAGTTAGCCATTTTACTTACCTGTTCTGTAGTCTCTACCCCTGTTTTCTTGTTCATCCCAAGCCTATTCATTCATTCACTTACTCATTCACATATTTATCAAGTGTGTGCTATGTGTCAGATACTGTTCTAGGTGCTGAAGATACAGCAGTGGATAATTAAACACATGCCCTAGTGGAGATTAAAATCTGTGGGAAGTGGACAATAATCAGAGTAAATAACTCAAATACATGCCATGTTAGATAAGAAGTGCTAAGAAGAAAAATAAAGCAGAGAAGAGGGCTATGGGTGTGTATTGGGATGAGGGGATGAGGATGATGGTTGAAATTTTAGGTATGCTGGCCAGAGATGGCTTTAGTAAGATGACTTGAGTAAAGGCCAGGAGAAGTTAAAAGAGCTAGCCATGTGGATATCTGCAGGAGGAGCATTCCTGGCAGAGAGCAAGTTCAAAGGCCTTGTGGTAAGAATATGTGTGGTGTGTTTGAGTAACAGTGTGGAAGGTCATAGTGGCTGGATAGAATAGATGAGGTCATCATGGTCAGGGGTTAGCAGATCAAATTCTAAAACAAACTTTGCAGGTTTTAGAAAGGATTTTGACTTGTTTTGAGGAGGGAATCCACAGTGGAGTAGAGGAGTGACATGATGTGACTTAATGGTTTAATAGTATCACTCTGACTATACTGTTGAAAAGAGACTGAAGGAGGACAAGGGTGGGATTGAGGAGCCCAGTTTAGTAAGGAGGCTGGGCAAGAGATGGTCCAGGGTGGTGAGATGTGTCAGATTTTGGATGTGTTGTGATGATAGACCCAGTAGGATTTAATAACACATTGGAGCTCGGCCAGTGTGGCTCGGTTGATTGAGCATCGTCCCATGGCCTGGGAGGTCCTGGTTCGATTCCCTGGTTCAAGCCTAGGTTGCAGGCTCGATCCCCAGTAGGGGGTGTGCAGGTGGCAGCTGATCCATGTTTCTCTCTCCAAAAAAATCAATACAAACATATTTTAAAAGTAATAATAATGCATTGGATTTAAGGAGTGAGAGAAAAAAAGAATCAAGGATGACACCAAAGATTTTGGCCTAAAGGTCTGGAAGAATAAGGTTTCTATTAGATGAGATGGGGAAGACTTAAGGAGTTAGGTCTGTTTTACAGCCAACTTCTTTCACATTTTAAATATAATTTGGAAGGATTGGGAATGTGATGTAGGGAGATTAGAACAGGTATCTTTTTTCTAGAACTATTGTTTGTATATCCTTCCAGGGTTTTGTTTTGCATGTGTAAGCACAAGTGAACATAACCCCTCCTACTTCTTTCTTTTCTTTTTTTTTACACAGAAGGTGGTACACACTGTACACACTGGTCTGTGCCTTGCTTGTGTACTTAACTGTACATATCAGGAATCTTTCCACATCGATACCTGGAATACTTCTGATTCTTCATAGAACTTGTTGTATGGATCATAATTTATTTAAGCAGTCTCCTATTGATAAACATTTAGGTTGTTAGTAATATTTTGTTATGTAGGTTTTTCTGCCCCCCAAGTGAACTCTATTGAGAGCCAATGTATGTACAATAAAATGTACAGATTTTATATGTAAAGTTCACTGAGTTTTGACAGAAATCTTGCCTGTGTAATCACCATCACAGTCAATGCATAGAACATTTCTACAATCTTTGCCCTCATATAACCATTGATTTGACTTCAAATACTAGAAAACTATGCACTCTTTTGTGTCTAGTGTCTTTTGTTTAATAGATCTGTGAGATTCATTTGTGTTTTTTCTATGTATCAGCAATTTGTTTCTACTTATTGCTTTTTATTTCATTGTATGATATTCTAAAGTTTGTTTATTGACCTGTTGATTGACATTTGGGTCGTTTCCATTTTTTTGGCAATTCTGAATAAAGCTGCTATGAACTTTCATGTACAAATCTTTGTGTGGACATGTTTTCATTCCTCTTGGGTAAATATCTAAAGTGAGATTGCTGGGTCATATGTTTTGGTTGCTTTTTGTTTTGTTTTTTAACTTTTTAAGCAACTATCAGGTCTTTCCCCAAAATGGCTACATAATTTTACACTCACACCAGCAATTTATGAATTTTCCAGTTTCTCCACATCATAATTAACACGTGGTATTTGTCATTTTACTTTTAGTCATTCTGGTGATGCCGGTGGGTGTTTACTGGCATATAATTATGGTTTTAATTGCATTTCACTGATGACTAATGATGTTAAGGGCTGAATGACCATTTGTATGTCTTCTTGTAAGGTGTCCACTCTTGCCCATTTTTTAATTGTGTTGTTTGTTTTCTTATTGAATTGAAAGTGTTCTTTATATATTCTAGATATAAGTCCTTTCAGAATATGTATTGTGAATATATTATCCCAGTCTGTATTTTGTCTTTTCCATTTTCAAAAGTGTCTTTCGAAGAAAATTTTGGCGAATGTATATATGAAATAGAATTCTAAAGGCTGGTTGCTGACTTTGGGGTTTATGTCTGGTTCATTTTCCTACTTTACCACTTAATAGTTGTGTGACCTTGGGCAAATAAGCTCTATGAATGCCTCTCCCCTCTGTAAAAGGGAGATAATAGTACCTAGTCCACAGGGTTGTTTTGGGACAGTTAATTTAGATAATGCATATAAAGACTTATCATGGTACTTGGTATAAAGAGCTCAGTAAGTGTTAGTGGTTATTTATTTATTTTTATCCTCACCCGAGGACATTTTTGCATTTTTTGTTCAGATAGAGTGGGAGGGAGAGAAAGAAACAGAGAGAGAGAAAGAGAAACATCAATGTGAAAGGGACACATTGAGTGGCTGCCACCCGCACGACCAACCAGGGCTGGGGACAAACTGCAACCAAGGTACACGCCCTTAGCGGGAACCGAACCCAGGTCTCTGGACCACAGGTCGACGCTCTAACCACTGAACCAAACCGGCCAGGGCATTAGTGGTTATTTTTTATTAATAATACACTATGTTTTCTTGCAGCATCTTTTGAGTGCTTACTA